TCCCCTGAGCTCTACAGAGCATTAGTTTTGGTTTTACAGTGCATACCCCTTGCTCTCATCCGGCAGCTGTTTTCAGTGAAACAGCTCTGATAAACCCACCGTACACTACCTACCCTGCACCAAACTGCAGACAGATACAGTTAGCGACTAGCTGATGAACACAGTGGAGCATTTGGCGACTAAAGAGACAGACATTTTTTTCAGCATCTGGTAGAGGTAAAAGAGAGTGAATGTTGGACCTACTGTACATTCATCAGCTGGACATGACCCAACATGACTGCAAATGAATGATAATGTTGTTTTGTGTCTGCTGGATGACTAAATAAGTAATATTTGAAGCATGTTCATAAAAACTTTATAAGTTGATGCGTAAATACAAAACAGGGCTGTAAACGTGCGGACGCCACTTCCCAAGCAAAGGTTGTGATCTATAAAAAACAAACTTGACGGGACAATGTGCGGTCCTGTAAGTAAACTCTGAACCATGCGTACACACATAAAGAGGAGAAATGAGAAACGGTGACTCACATGGCAGAAGGATGAAACTGTTTGAAATGAATTGTGTAAAATAAAGGAGGGAAAAATAAATATTACCTCTGAGTATTATAGGCTTAAAGCCTTTCTAAATAATCATACACTTGATTTTCAATGAAGAGCGCAATAAAAAAATTTAAACATAAACAATAAAAACAAACGAGAGATATCTGTTTCTGCAAAAGAACACCTCAAATATGTTGGAAAGTTTAATCCGGAATCATATTAATTAATACTTGCATGCATTGAAATTTATTCTCATAAATAAGGTGAACAGGAGGACAAATTACATTTAAACTGATGCCGTTTTCAATGCGTCAGTCGAGCAAATACGAGTGCATAGTTTCATTTATTGTTATCACATGTTCGTTGCCTTATCGAGCCAAACACTATGCGCCAGCGTGTGGATGTGATGCGCTGCTTGTAAAAACACGTTATGGAAAAATAACTCTATTGTCATTTACAAAATGTCATATTACTTTTCACTCATCGGCAGCCTCTTTAATAGAGTGGACTGTTTATGTAGCCTAAATAAATGTTTAAACACAAGCGGAATTAATTTGGCTTACTCTCGTTTCAAACGAGGGAATCCAAATTAGTACTTGGGTCATCCCATCTTGTACTACTTTGAAGCGCTTCAATTCCTTTAGTCTGTAAAAGTCCGCTGATCAAAATAATCAAAACAGCTTTTTAAGTTCTGTTACACTTCTCTCATCCTGCACCGTGTTGTCGTCTTTGTTATGTTGCTGCCTACAAAATAAAAGCCCATAATCCGTCTGTCAGCGCTAGATCAAATGAATGTCATGTATTTGATATAATTTGATAATTTTTATACTATACTATACTATATAGTAATATTCTGTTTGAAATAAATAAACTGTTTCATAGTAGCCTATTTCAGTTTGGTGCGAAAGGAGTTAAAGGCCTGTCCCAAATATAGGCAGGGTCAATTCAGTGATTTTAGCAAATAAAAGCCTGGGCTATCAAACTTTTACCAAATCTCAGATGTTGTTTTCAACCTGTTATGCCCCCAGTGGACACGAACATTATTTAATGCAGCTTTAAAAATCTTGAAAAGTAATATGATATCTAACAAAATACTGATTTAAAGATCAATCAGCCTGCACGATAGATGATCTGCAGATAGAAACAGAGCAGGTTTCATGTCAATTATTCATGTCAATCATTATTTCATTTTGCCCATTCTCCACATCACATCAGAGTGCAAGCCCGCTTATCATTAGAGCATCAAAGATGAGTGTAACAGACCCAGTGATGGAATCCAGAAACAGCTGAAGACACTGCACCGGAGTGTGCTCTCTCACACACACACACACACACACACACAAACAAATGCAGTCACTTGTGCACTTTCCCACACATGAACATACTGATAAGTGGGTGCTATGGTTTTCATCGCCTGTGCTAAGCCTGTCAAGTACACTCACTTTCCCTTAAGTCTCATAACCTATTGACCACTGCTGCTGCCAGCAGTGGTCAATAGGGGAGAGGGTAACAAAGAGACTGCAGGCTGGTTGGTGGGGCAGAAGGGACTGGAAGCGACATGGATACAGCAGAATTTAAGGCCTACTCATTAATCTCTCATCTAGATCCATTTTGTACACTTGTTTTAAATAATTACAATAGAATATAATAACAATAAGGATATAATTATATATCAATAACGATGTATAGCTGGGATTGGCTCCAGCCCGCCGCGACCCAGAACGCAGGATAAGCGGTTGACGATGGATGGACAATGTTTTGATTAGTGATGTTTACAGATGTTGATGTTTCACATAAGAACCACGATTCCTGCTGTATACGATTCTGAATTGTTTCAAAGATAACAATAATTTAATGCACATCATTAAGTTACGTCGAAACACAAAAAGCTGCCACTCAAACAGGTAGATCAAAGTGCAGCACCTGGATGTTTACAGGGTGCTCCTACTAGAGTTATTTTGTAGTTCATAGTCAAAGCAGAGTGTCTGAATTTAAATCAGTTTCCTCAAAAAACTGTATTTATTAAGGTCTTGAACGACGCCCCTTGACTGTGATATAATAAGCGTATACCATGGCCTGTTGTGAGCTATTGCTTAATTACATCTTTAAGAAATGAATTACTGTTCCAGTATCATATCATGCCTACTGGTTTTTCACCATACTTTTCATTCTTTAGCTGGTATTACCACGAAACAGCTAGCCTATTTAATTGCATTCTGTGTGGTACTAAAAATGTCTTTAGAAGTCGTGAAAACTAGAACACTTTCAACCCTGGATGCATTCTGGGTTAAATAGCTTAATAATTAGCTTTGCATGACAAAAAGGAAGTATTATGTTAAATCTTTTCATACCCCATCAGTCCGAGAATAATCGAATTTGAGCACTATTAAACAGGCGGCCCAAGCAACACATTGCAACTCTTCACAGAACTTTAGTAGCTAGTAGTCTGTTTCATTTCAAAATCCCTGCGGCTGTAGAGTATTGTGGATATTGATGTGCTTCACTGGTAGTAACTGGAAACTGGTGTTTTTCACTCCTGGAGACAACATTAGTAACAGCACAGTGACTTTTCCTTTCTTTTCTTTTCCCCAAACTCCAGTACACACTGAGCTACGTCAATTTTACAAAAAAACACAACATTTAACAAGAGTGTATGGAGTTATTGGTAGTGCATGGAGTGCTGGAGTAAGAGCCTGAATCTGCTCTCCCCTTTGTATTTATGTTATCGAGAATCAGTTCTCAATCATGACACCAAGAATCGTAATGGAATCGAATCATCACATTCCCAAAGACTCCCACCCTTACTAATCACATCAAATGTTGAACTGTTCAGTGTTAACTATCCAGCTTTATGGGTGCTCAATAAGGGTGCAGAGGATTTACCCTTAACCTTGGTAAGCATGTAGCATTTATTACCCTCAGTCCAACCACTCTTTTATTCTGGTGCAGCTATCTGACAACAGAAACGCAAAGGCATTAGTTTCACAGGTGCAGGTTAAATGGTAATGCAATCCTGTGGCTTTCAAAAGAATGAGCAAACTACAGCGTTACTTAATATGAATCTTTGAGCTGAACTGGACAAAATGATTCATTCCTAAACTCTAGATCTGTCAATGAGTATAAACAATATAAATGATTATTAGATAAATCTTGCTTGATCAAGTAGTCACAAATGCATCATCAAGCAAAGAAGAACAACTCACTGTGTGACCTTAATACCTTCAGTGCATTTGGAGTACAACTTATTTGTCTCTCTGTCTCTAGGCAGAAACGTTGAGTGTAGCTGTGTGTGTTCTGTTAAGTCCTCAGCTACTGGAACATTCTGTCTGGTTTTAGTTCTCATTTGTCTTGCCTTAGACACGGTTAAACCACACTCCATCCGTGCACAGAGATAGCATTTCCAAGAAACCAACTTATAGGTCATGTAAGCAAAGTTAAACTCGGATTATATGTATAGGCTATTTTTCAGTGATCAGATAGAGACGGAGGCACTTTACCTTGCTGAGATCAAGTGGAGTGTGTCATCAGTAATGACCTGTCAAAACAGTTTGTTTGTTGAGAAAAGACATAGGAGTGCAATGCTAAATCATTGGCAAACTCTTTTAAATACAGTTTACCCCAGAAGCTTTCTATTCCTTATTGAAAGAGTCCAGCTCAGCATCACTGTGTTAAAGTGTTGTGAGGTCCACATATGTGGAGGAGAAAGCAATTTCACAACAAACTGAGCCAAGTCACTTACTGGAACCCTGGGCTGGGCTGTGGTTTGGAGCTGTGCTGCCAGCCAATGTCTCCTGTCTGTGTGTGTTTATTATTCTGTTTAGCCATGAGACAAGTTCATATTATTTATATGGATGATTTAAATCTCGCCTTGCAACTCTGCGTACAGAGGATAATTATGTCTTTGCCACAAAGACATAATTATCAAACAGTCAGTCAGTGTCTGAACGAAGACTACAACGGTTTTCCCAAGTTTCCCTGTGGTGCCGTCTCTGAGGAGACAGAATCTGGTACAGCGTTTCAGGCAACATTGAAATGGCCAATGTTTGATAGTTTCCCAAACTATCAAACATTGCTGAACTTTTCCAACTTGTTGGACAGATTAGTTGTGTTGCACTATCTACTTTATAACCCTGCTCTCATGGTTTGCGGTCAGTTATGAGTGGTGAGCTGATTTTTTAAGTCAACTGATCCTAGAAACGGCTACCATAGTAACGTTGGCAGGATAGACACATCACTCGTCATTACTGTTTAGGGTAAAACGAAATAAAATGACCCTTTCCCAAACAGAAACCTGCTGACAAGAACACAATGTCAGGCTGAAGGAAGACATTGATATAAAATGATTATCAGGGTATAATTAAGCTTTCATCCATTTTAAAGTTTAAAAAGTTAAGTATCTCAGCAACTTATAGACATACTTTACTGTTACATCACAACTAACGTGGTTCATCTGTCTGCAGATCCCTCCTGTTGCCACCATGTTGCCAACTTGTCGCCTTGCAAAGAAGCTTGTGACCAGGTATAAACACACACAAACACGCGCACACACAAGCCCATTCCTCAGTCCGTTTTAGTCAGCCAATGAATAGAGGTGTTTGAAGAAGAGTGGTGTAAAGTTTTTTGTCTCTTGGCTCTTTGAAGTGTAGAATAAAAGTTCTTTCTCATCCAGTTTCATTTGGGAGCAGGTAATGCTCTCTCTCTCTTGCTCTCTTACTCTCTTGCTCTCTTTCTCTCTTTCTCTCTCTCTCTGAAACCCCCATGGCCTCCTTTATGGCAAAGCGACACAAAGGAGACCTAAAAGAAGCTTGTCTGTGCAAATAGGCAGAGAGTTCAAACTGTACTCCCGCTTTTGAAGTGGAGGTCAATAAAGATGAGGGAGGTTGGACAGAGCTTGTCCAATTGTGCTCTTATTGGTCACCATTTTGCTAGCCAAAGAAAAAAAAAAAAAAACAGATAAAAATACATGAAATAAAAGACGAAAATGTAGAGAAATGGGATGGACATTTTAAAATAAGATAAGAAGGAAGTAAAATGGCCTTAGAAGTGTAATGGCATCAAAATACCCTTCAGAGGTTGTGGTTAAAGTGTTGAGTGTGTGGGTTTTTTGGTGTTGGGGTGTAGGGGATGGGTGTCATGATGGTGGCTCATGATGTAAACATGAAGACCATTTTAGCTCTAATGGAAGCTGCCTTGTGCCTGGTTAGACCCAGAAAATTTGTGGTCCTTCAAAGATCCTGGTCATTATAGAACAAAAATGGCTCAAAGAATCAGCGTTTTCTTTTTGAAAAAATAAATCAGTAGTAACAGCTCAGAATAAAGGCAAGTTTGAAGGAAATGGAAGGGAAAGCATGAATCACAGACCAGCAGGTAAGATTAAAGTCCAGGTTAAAATGAAAGGCTACTGAAATTGGTTGAAGATACTCGAAGACATTTCACCTCTCATCCAAGAAGGTTTTTCAGTTCTGACTCACCAGAGGTGGGGAGGGGTCCCACAAACCGCAAAGCCAACTTCCTGGACTCCACCCTCAGGGTAAGTCCTGGGTGGACAGCCAGACCTTCTAGCCAGGGATGTATTGGGGGGCAGGAATGCAGCTTGATTGACGCTCCTCTGGTAGGAGGTGGCAGTGCAGAGAAGATTGGACTGGGTCTGCAACCAGGTGTGGCGGTGCTGACAGATGAACACTAGCCTCCCGTTCCTGCTCTGTAAAGAGGGGAGGCTGATAACTTCCGTGAGCACTGGAAGGGGGAGAGACCAGTGGCAGAGCATTGGAAAGTATTGTTACCCACAGCAATTGCTTGGACCAGGACGAGGGACTGCGAGATGAGAGACAGTTCTAATATGAATAAAGTTTATTTGCAGATGTTTTTTTTAATCAAGAACAGCATAGGATAGGACAGGAATATTTTTTTTAGGAGAGTGGAATGGGACGGGAGTGACATTCCACTCCCTCTAATGGAGATGTTTGAGACCAGGGCCCCTGAGGGACTGATAAAGGTTGTAGTAGATCAGCAGGGGCCTGGTTGAAGCTCTGGTGTTCTTTCACATTCCTTAGAGGAGAAAAAATCATGACACTGTGACTGCAGACCATCAAGCATCTTTGGTATCTTTGTCTTTCATTTTCACATGCAGTGTTTGAAGTCACTGTAATGTCTAATAGCTGTGGAGGACAAGAGATGATCCACAAAAACATTGAGTCCTCCCAGCAGTCTGAGTGTGCAAAGCTGTAAATCTCACTCACTTGGTTTCATGACTTCACACTTCAGCCAGAGACTGTTGGCAGTGGCTGCATTCTCCCAGGCTCTCGCCTTGTATGTTCAAACAGCACTTAGACGTGTTATGGCTAAGTGTGTGTGTGTGTGTGTGTGTGTGGATACACACCACAAACTTGGATGCCTTATTGAAGTGAGCATATCTCAGAAGTGTTGGGACTGCCTACATCATCCAACACTTTCTCATGTTCCAAGCACATTCTTGTGTTTAGGAAACATCATAATACAGGGCTAAAGGTGCAGCAAGTAGAGTTTACTGTCTCGTACATCAAAGTGATATCTACAATGTTCCTCATTTTAGAAACACAGTCTCCTGTATAAGTTTCTATTAGAATTTACACAGAGGTGTGAATCAGAGCTATAGCATTTTGAAATTTACCTGAGGCCCTGAGCGGCCGAAGGCTCTGAACCCCATAGTGGTCAAACGAGCAGGAGGTACAGTGAGGTGAATAGAAGAAGAAGACCTAAGAGTACAGGTGGGTGTTAATATGAAGGACATCAGTGAGGTACAGAGGAGCGAGGTTGTGAATGGCCTTGAAGGTCAGGAGCAGAGTCTTGAAATCAATGCGGTATTTAACTGGGAGCCAATGAAGCTGCTGAAGGACAGGAATAATACGATTAATAGAAGGGGTTCTGGTGATGATACGGGTAGCAGAGTTCTGAACCAGTTGAAGTTTATGTATGGATTTGAGAGGAATAGAATAATAAATGCGGGATGTGACCAGTGTGTGAATGAGAATGGCTGTACTAGTGGGTGAGAGAGACAGTCGGACGCGATTAATGTTACGCAAATGGAAGTATGCAGACCGAGTGACATTATTAATGTGAGCTTGAAATGAAAGTGTGCTGTCGAGGATCACACCCAGACTCTTGAACTGAGGGTAGGGGGGAACTCGGGAGTTGTCAATGGTCAGATTTAGTCAAAGTGGATTTGGTGCCAATGAGGAGAACCTCGGTTTTGTGTTTCTGTTAAGCTTGAGGAAGTTGCAAGCGAACCAGGATTTGATTTCTGTTAGGCAATCAGAGAGGGAGGTAGGTGGGCGCGATGTGGTTTGGTGGACAGGTATAGCTGGGTGTCAATGAATGTAAAATTCTACGGAAGTTACGGCCAAGAGGGAGTAGATAGATGATAAACAGAAGGGGCCCCAGGACAGAGCCCTGGGGAACACCAGTAGTGACAGGGGATAGCTCTGATTTGAAATGTTTGAGTTGGATGAACTGTGTGCGGCCAGAGAGATATGATTTAAACCAGTCCAAGGGTGTATCAGTATCAATAGAGACTAATCTGTCAAGGAGGATGTTATGAGAGATGGTGTCAAAGGCTGCACTCAGATCAAGGAGGATGAGAATAGTTAGTAGTCCGGAATCAGCTGCCATAAGAAGAAGGTGATTTTTACCAGAGCTGTTTCGGTGTGATGGCAAGGACGGAAACCAGATTAGAATTGTTCATAGAGGTTCAGAGGTAATCGCATAGTTATGCACCAGTCTCCAAGTCCATTACCTCAGTCTGAATGATTTATTAATTAACTACAATAACATGGTTAAGGATGCGAGAACACACTATTTTTCGGAACTCATTACTACACATAAACACAATCCCAGTTTTCTGTTTAAGACTGTGGATCAGCTGGTAAACCCAACCCGTCCTTGTGCCTCAGCTGGAAGTAATGATGACTGTGAATTGTTTTTATCTGATTTTACCAATAAGGTGGTGTCAATCAGAGCCTCCATTACCCCCGCGGCCTCTTACTCAGAGGTTCCTCACCAGCAACAAGAGAGTTTTAACCAGTTTTATCCCATCGACTTGTCTGAGCTTTTAAAAACAGTATCACAAATGAGAGTGTCCTCCAGCCCACTTGATATAATACCTACAATATTTTTACTGAAAGTAATAGATTCTGTAGGGCCCCATTTGATCTCTGTTTTCAACAGCTCCCTATCTACTGGTTGTGTCCCTGATTATTTTAAAACGGCTTGCGTGAACCCACTTTTAAAGAAACCTGGTTTAGATCCCTCCCTCCCACATAATTTTAGACCAATTTCAAAACTGCCTTTTATTGCAAAGATTCTAGAAAGAATTGTGTCCAAACAGCTGCTCACTGTACTGGAAAATAACAAAATATTTGATTCTGGTTTCAGGAAGTACCAAAGCACTGAGACTGCCCTACTTAAAGTCACCAATGACCTTTTAATGTCTGCTGATGAAGGCATGTGCTCAGTCCTGGTACTCCTGGACCTTAGCGCTGCTTTTGACACCATTGATCACAACATCATGTTAGACAGACTGAGGCACTGGGTGGGGATCTCTGGTACTGCCCTAGAATGGTTTTCATCCTACCTGTCAAATAGGAAGTTTTGCGTGTCTGTAAACAACTATGTCTCTTCGTTCTGTCCAGTTAAATGTGGTGTGCCTCAGGGGTCGGTCTTAGGACCCATTTTGTTTTCCTTGTATCTGCTTCCTCTTGGACATATTATCCATAAACATGGCATTTCTTTTCATATTTATGCTGATGACACACAAATATACTTGTCTGTCAGATCCACAGACCCTGGAATGCTGAGTTCACTTAACAACTGCCTTTGTGAAGTTAAAAAATGGATGTCAAATAATTTCCTCCAACTGAACAGAAATCCTGGTCATTGAGTCCCAGCAGATGGCAAATCAAATACTGCCATCTGCTGGTTCCCTAGTAAATCACATTAAGCCTGTGGCAAAAAAACTTGGTGTTTGGTTTGATTGAAATTTCGAGCGGCACACCACAAAACTTGTTCAATCATGTTTTTATCAACTTAGAAAAATTCGATCTATGTTAACTTTTAAGGACACTGAGACCATTTTACATGCCTTCATCTCATCACGCCTGGATTAGTGCAACAGCCTTTTCACCTGTTTAACCCAAAAATCTATTGATCGACTCCAGACTGTCCAGAACTCAGCTGCCAGGCTTTTAACCAGAACAAAGAAATATGACCACATTACTCCTATTTTAGCTTCATTACACTGGCTCCCAGTGTGTTTTAGAATTGACTTAAAAATTCTATTGATCACTTTTAAAGCTCTTCATGGCCTCTCGCCTTGTTATGGTATTGCTGACGTAATTGCTGACGTAACCTGCACTCTGCGCATGCGTTGGCGTCTGTAGCCACCTGTCGGAAGCTCTGTCTTGAACCGGACTCTTATCCAGTTTTAATCCACTTTTTTCGTTACATTTTTTATATCCTTTTATTTAACTTAACTTTATTTAAGTT